CCAGGGTGTGTGGGCTGGGATTTAAAAGACTCCCTCAGCACCAGGACGCGAACTCGTGACTGATTGATATATCAGTTCAACTTACTCATTGATATATACTGATATTCAACTTACTCATTGATAGTGACTGATTGATATATCAGATCAACTTACTCATTTGATTGATATATCAGGTTGCCGGGCAACGGCGGTGCTGTGCACATGCGTTAGCCCATTCGGCTACCCCGCCCACTAAATGTTATCATCAGTGACAGGTCGTTTCAACATTCTAAAATAAACTAATTTTTCCATCTTCAAATTGATTCCTCTCTCCCTCCATTTCAAAATAATGTACCCCCTTTTGACAACGTTCTCGCAATTATTTCAGATGAAATTCTCATTTAAAAGGAAAAATATTTTAAAACGAATTAATAATGAATACCTGGCATGGGCATTAGAAGAGGGCAGGGGGGGAGCCTTGCCTTCTCTAAATATTACTGATGTTACTTGTTGATTGTAATTGCCTCATGTATGTTGTGCCTTTAATATTCTGGAGAAACAAACCAATATTATATCTCTTATCTTTTAAACTAACTTATTGACGATATTACATATCATATAAATATATGTTAATTATATAAGTGAGAGGGGCAATAATATTTTGTTTTTGGTGGGAGGGCATGCGCCATCGGCCTTGGGGAGATGGGCACTCCTGACAATAACTATCATGACCAGATTAACAATAAACGTTAATGTAGTTCTGTGTCATACGTTATATATCAAATAAAATAAAAAAGGAAAGATAAAAAATCGGTAGAATGTACAGTAAAAAAATTATCAATTATAAGAATGAAGAACTATAAGGAAAATGGAGAAAAATTCATGGACGAGAATTAACCGATACGTGTCCACAAAATCGTTTAAAAAGTAAGGTAAGATAAAATAATTTGATACTAAATTTTATGTTGAAGTTCTGAATCCTGTTTCATGTACAAGTATTAAAAAAATGAAAATATTATTTTGCTAGCGAAAAGTCTAATAATATAGGCATTATCTGAAATTTGTAATAAAAAATCTATCAGTTTTCGAGAAATTAGTTTAACAGTAGAATGAACCAAATTTCAAATTTATCAAGATAAAAAAACATAAAGAATAATATCTTATCTGATATATATATATATATATATATATATATATATATATATATATATATATATATATATATACATATATACATATATATAACATATTTAGTAGCTGAATAAAACAAGAATTTCTAATTTGAAAAAATTTAATATTATAATATGATACGTCACGTCATCTACCACAGTGTCATTTATTTTCATATATTATTTCTGATAATATATTCATTGCTCACATATAGGGTATATATAGTAGTGTTGCTATAAAACGAAGAGACAAGGACATAGAAAAGCTCATATTCTGAGAACATTAATCCACTATATTGTCGCTTAGTTCCATTATGAATACACGGAATTCGGTTTTGAAATAGAATTTAGTCTTAGCCCTTTCTTGCTATTTCCACTGATTAGATTGTAATATGTCTACATGGTTCCGGTTAAATTTCAAACAAAAAGTTATGTTACTAATGAGTATACCAGAAAGCTCAGTATTCGCAATTTAGACACTCGATTAAAACTTGGTGGTTAGACATTTTAAAGAAATAACGAATATTGTGAACAGCGGGCCAAACACTGTGTGATAATGCAAAAAAAATAATTTCTTTCGAGCTACGCCGTTGTTACAGTAACATATAGATGGCTTCGCCAGGCTTGTATCTTAACCCTCCTGCGTTCGCACAATCATTTCGAACAATTATACTTGCGCTGGACCTTTAAGCTGAAAATACATTTTCGTGATCTCTGAGTGAATATTAAGAATTTCTCAATGAATATTTAAGAAGTTCTCTCACAAATTAGTTGGCTGAAAAACAATGTTCAGTTTGAACGAGGATAGTGGAATAATGTAGCGATTTTATCTATCCATAACAAATTGGAAAACAAAATATTTATGCAAGACCAAACAAAAATTACAAATTACTATTTTTTTTTTCTATATACAAGCAAGTTTAGCTTTATTATGTGCAATATTGTTATGCAAAATATATTATTAAATTTCTCATAAAAATAGTTTTAATTTGTAAATTTAAAAAGAAAAATTTTTTAATAGTTTTCTAAATGTTATTTTTTAACATGTTTTTCTTCCAATTTTTCTTAAACATACATCTCTCTATAGCGGGCAATTTTTGATGCCCCGTGAATGTCCCCTTCTTGTGAAGAGAAGTTTCATTATAATAACTAAAACGGGCTAGTATTTTTCTTCATGAAAACCGTTCTTTGTCTTGTTTTCTTATCTTATTTCGGTTCTGGCATGTGATTAATTTTTAGAGGCGGGGTAGGCGAGCAGACTTACGGGTGTGCACAGCACAGCGCGTTGCCCGGCAACCTGATAACCGAAGTTGGAGATAATAAAATAATAATGAGTTCTTTTAACTCTGGCATTAATCCCCCGACCTCACCTGTTGGCCCGCGAAAACCCCGGTGTAACCTAAATGGTAGGCAGGGGAGAACAAAAAAAAAAGATTAATTTTTTATTATAATTTGGGAAACTATACTCAAATATACAATTCCACAAGAAAAAACAACGCTGTTTAGAATAGATGATTAAAATGTTTAAGCACCATACTATATCTGAAAATAGTCTCAGTTTGACTGCAGGGTCTTGGTCTTGCGCAAAACTTGGAGGGTCTGGTGTTGGTCTTGGTCTTGCAACAATTTTTGTGGTCTTGGTCTTGCAAAAATGCAAGACCAAGACCAAGACTGCAAGACCGAGACAAATTTTGGGCAACACTACGTGTAAGAGAGGCGAAAAGAAATAATACTGTCGAAAACCAAATTATAAATAGTTTTAAGGAAGATTTTTTTTTCCTGTTGGCATTACAGACCATGTAGATATTTTGCCGCCTTGACAAGCCTACTCCATCTCTGCCTTTCTTAGGCTATTTATTTCCATTTATCAGCACGCAGCTTTATTGCATCTTTGTTGATTCTATCTATCCATCTGCTTTTTGGCTTTCCACGCGATCTTTTGCCTTCTATAGAGGCACTCATTGTTACGTAGAGACTTCCAGATGGATTACTAAGAGAATTGCTACAAGCCCAATACACAATGAATGCTTCAATAGAAGACAAAAGACGTGGAAAGCCAAAAAGCAGATGGATAGATAGAATCAACAAAGATGCAATAGAGGTGCGTGCTGGTAAATGGAAATAAATAGCCCAAGACAGGCAGAGATGGAGCAGGCTTGTTGAGGCTTATCTTATTCTGAGAAAAAAATGGTTCATCTCTTTTATCGCTCATCTTAACCCCCGTGCCTTCATATCATGGGATATTGATTGACCAGTTTCTGTAAGCAGTTCGTTATTTGTCTTTCTTCTCCATGTGTTAGTACTCTGACCGCTCCGGTTATCGTGCGGAGGATTTTTCTCTCAAATCTTTCAACACTTTTTTTTTAGGGTGCTGTTTAGTGCCCAGGCTTACAGCCATACATTAGAACTGGCTTTATCATACAGTATTGTACAACCTTAATTTGTGATTTCTTAAGATTTTTCGGGATTTCAATACCTTTGAAAGGGAAAACAAAGCTATGATTGCGCTTGTCTATTTTTTCCCATTGGTCAGTTATTGAGGTTATTGAAGAGCCGAGGTATTTGAATTTTTCTACTCTCGGGAATGATTTTCCTTCAACGCAGATCTTGTTATTAGGGTAGAGTTTCCGGCTTATTATCATATATTATTATGAAAGATATGGATTAAAATATATCAGAAACTAAAAATCAGACCTGCATACTGTAAGCAAGAGAAATGTTTAGCATTTCATTCTCTTTATAGTCAGCTATTATGCATAATTTATATTTCATATTACTAATCTCACCTTGATGTTTTCACTTTTATCGTGTGGTCTAAAGCATACACCTTATTTTTTTTATGTATATTATGCATATTAATTGTTATTTTATTTATTTATTTTCATTAATATATTGAAAAATGAATTGTCATTTGTATTATTTTTTTTATGTATAAGACGTTTTGATTATCTATTAGAGGAAATATATATTTGTTTTTGTTTATAGCTTAGAAGCATTTTTTTTCTTTTATTTACAATTCTTCATGTTTTAAATACATTTTTATAATCTAATGTTGTTTCCTTTTTACGTGTTTAATGCAATAGGTCTTTTGGACAGTATAATAATCTTTATTTATTTTTTACACAGCTGTTTATAATAACTTAAGGGACATTTTCCAAGAATAAAAGTATTTTTTTATACTAGATAAAAGACATCTTTTAGAATCATGTATAAAAATCCCGGACAATCGTGTTCTAAGAGTTCTAAAAAAGATATGAAATTGTTTCCCCACGCTCCTCCGATCACGTTTAATCTAGTGAAAAATTCTATTATTGTCGATAAACTGGAAATAAATAAATATTTCATAAATTATACTAATATGTAAATAAATAACGCCATCCTACTCTCTCCTGGCTCTCTGATACTTGTTAATTAAAATACGATGCATTTAAAAACAAAATATTCTTAGTATTTCAAAATAATAATTAAGGTACTTTATTGTCCACCTCTAAAAACAATAATTACAGGAACAATAATGATTTTAGGGATAACGCGTACTTAAATTTAAGAGTTACATATATATGTCTCGTAATTTAAAACGAATTCATGATGTGGTTGCTTAAGTATTTATCTCAGATCACTCACAAAAACAAATATGGATCAACAAATATCTATAGATAATATTTTACTGTTCAGACGAGCCCGAAAGGCAAGGAGCTGCTTCCTTGAGGTACTGTCAGTAAAACTTTACCATTATTATTTTTTTTTATCATTTTTAATATATTTTTAAAAATATATATTTTGCCAGCTTTAACCAAATGCAGGTCACATCTTGTTACAGGTATCACCATTTGTACATGATTATTGAAATACATAAACCGTAAGTTGTTTCAAGCGCATTCATTTTTGTTAGTCAAGTTTTTATTTTTTTATTTTAATATGTATTATATCAATCAGCAATGATTTATTCTATATAAAATTGAGCTGTAATAAATATGTTTATTTTTTTTAAATTGCCCTGAAAAAATTTAAGAACCTTATAACATGCAATTATTCATATGGTAATTATATATCACCATGATATAAATAATTGGTTTTGAAAAAACTTATTTTGGGAAGACAACACTGTCAGAAATGCAGGGAAATTTTGCCAGTTAGTGTTTGCAGCACTGGTGGAAAGCTGGCGATAGAGAGTCGGCTTCATCACTATTGAGAAGATCGTAATTTATCTGTCAAGATGGCCGAGGTTACCTCTTCTGATAAAGCTAGTAGTGTTAGTGATATTACCACAGAATTGTTTACAAATCCATTGAATTTATTCCTTTTAGCCGTAATTGCATTCATCGTTTACAAAATTTATAAAAATCAATACAAACAACATCCCCACTATGAGCCGGAGCCCGAACTACCTAAAATGAAGAAGAGAGACTTCACACTCGAAGAATTAAAAGCATACGACGGTAATGGTCCGGACGGTAGGATTTTGATTGCAGTCAACGGCAAAGTTTTCGATGTCACCAAAGGAAAACGATTCTATGGGCCAGGTAATCTAAGTTTTGTTATGCGGTTATGAACATAATTAATGAATGACGTTTTTGAAGTCATTGCATTGGCCTTATAGTTGTCAAGGTTTAGTTGTTTCATTGGTGAGATCCTCATCATTCTCAAAAATCATCCCATGTATTTTATGCTAATCAACTTTTATTTTGTTGTTATAACATTTTATTGTTTGAAGTGAGGTTTCTGTTACTATTTATTCAATTTCATACAGTATCAGTATGTGAAATTCTTAATTTTTTTTAAATGAGTGTTTGAATGTTTGTATAATTAAATAATTATTTTATTCCTATTTTTATTTTGTGTTTACAGATGTTTCTTGTTCATTCTTTTTTAATCCATGCATCAATTATTTCCAATCTAGCCAGAATATCACTACATCTTACTGTCAATTAATATTTTTTATTTATTCTCAATGAGATTAAGTTTTAGCCAAGCATTATAGTTTTTATTTGATTAAGTAGAATTTATATTTCTCAACGGATCAGTAACCTGGTATTTAAATCTCTTTGCCTTTAATCGAATGTGCATGTCATGACCATGATAAATTATTTATAGATTTCAGGATTATTTATTCTAACAAACTGATGTTTTATCAGGTGGACCTTATGCTGCTTTTGGAGGAAGGGATGCTTCAAGAGGTCTTGCTACGTTTTCAGTTACTGGCGGAAGCGAAACTTACGATGATCTGAGTGACCTGAATTCTATGGAAATGGATTCAGTTCGTGAGTGGGAAATGCAGTTCACAGGCAAGTGTACTGCATGCGATTTTTTCATATTACCTTTGATATTTTATATTACAATACAGTTCCTCCTTTACTTTGTGAGTTAAGACAGGTTGTTCACCACATTTTTAGATTTTGTTTTGATTTTTTTTTTTAATAGTTATGGTATATCATTGTATGTTTGGTCAATTTATTACGTCTGTTAAGTAAACTTTTAGTCATTTTATATTAATCATTACCTACTTCTGGTTCATTTTCACCTAGAGTTATTGTACATATTTAAACCACCTTTAGTAATATTCATTTGCATAATGTTTTTATTTTAATTTGCTGTTTTAATATGTGAATTATAATTCCAATTAACATATACATATTACTTGATAAAACAACCCTGTAATTAATGGAGTTGATGACAAAGCAATCTTGCCATGCTCATTTCCTCATGTCACTAAATGAACAGTTATTAACTTATGCTTAATGGTCCTTAGTGTATAAACAAATATTTGTATTTTTTCCTCATTTCATTCTATTTATTATTGAAGAATATAATTTTTCATTTATATATGTTGGCAAGATTCTTCTTGACCAAAATTGTGACAGTTATGTTGTTAATTTTTATTTTGGGGTTAAATTGTAATTATCCAAAAATAATGTAATGAATGGTTGATGTTGCTATTGAAATGTTTATTGTACAGTTCGAATAGAGTCTCATTAAAACTGATAATTTTCACAATAGAATAACAAACAAATTCAATTATTCATGTTTGTTGCTTAATAGAGAAAATTCATTAATTTAGTTACATCTTACCTAATAATCCTCAAATGCCATGTGGTGAATATGAACAACCATTAATAACTTCCAAAATAATAATGTGTGCAGCTTTAATATTTGTAAGTAAAAAATAAATAAAATATATATATATCAATTTAAGTTAAATTATAATAAATATACATCACAAATTATTCTGTATATTTTTTAATTAGAACACAATTTACAGTAAACTATGTTTTAGTTATGTGTTTCTTACTTGTGTTATATTATTATCTTCAAGTATAAAAATTAGTTCAACTGACTAATATTAATATCTATAATGTACAGAAACAATTGGTTTATGAAAGCTTTCTTATTTAATTTGAAGTCTCCATCCTTGAATGGTATTTTAACCCTCGAAGGTTTTTATAGCTGTGGCAATGTATAATTTAATATTCAGTTATTCAGGGTTATTTTCCATATTTCAGGTACGTTTTCCATGGCCATGGTTCTTTCCTGAAGACACCACAAGGGCATTTTTAGTTGTTTTTTGTTTTGTTTTTTCTAAATCCAATAGGTTTATTCTATTCTTGTTGAATACATGGTGGTTTTCACTTATAACTGAAGGAACAATATTTCTTCGATTATTTAGCAATTTTCTTTATCATATTTCTTCCACAATTGCATATTGTATTATTTCCAATATGAGATTGGAGAACTTGGCCCTTCATAATCATATTCATAAGATATATTCTAAAACAATATATCATGTGTGAGAATGAGAATAAGGGTAGTTTCATATCCCACATCAAAAACCTTTGATTTATTGGTGAAGACTGGACATTCTTTACTAATTTAATTCAGTTTGGTTTTATATTAATTAGGAACTTAATTTTTTTTTAAAATAGAACTTCAGTATTAATGCATTGATTTCTCCTGCATTCAGTGTAAGTACATATAATCCAAACAACAATTTCTGAGATGATTTCTTAAGGAAAAATCTTTGCTGTGGAATAGTTTCAGTCGAAAATATAAAAGTGGTGTATGGTTTAAAGTAATAATTATTAAGTGTTTGTCTCTGCATAATTGTAATGAATAGCTTATATCAATCTTTTGTGTTATATTCTATAAGTAGAAGAAAAAAATGTTTGGATAAATTTAGGAATAAATTTGTCCAAACCGAATCTTTAGCTGTCTAATTAAATTGGGTTGTGCTGTAAAGTAAAGTAGAAATTTTATTTTTAATAAAGTCTTATCAAGTTTATATTAATGTAAAATCTATTCTAAATTCTTTTGGATCTTATTTTATATTTTTAACATTTTAGTATGATTTTCACTGTTGTAATTATGTAAATCAATTTATTTTGGAAATATCTTCTACTTTTATTTGCTATAGAAATTTTACTTTTTTATTTAGGAAAGTTTTTTAATCATAAGTTTTAATAATTAGAACCCAATGATAAGAGTATTTTTACAGTTGTTTATTTCATGTTATAATTTTGAATTTATTTTTATATATAAATCCACCTAATTTTATAAATGATATATATATTATTATTACAACTTAGAGGGAGCTTTTAGTTTATAATTTTTATTTTTTTTTTTTTATGTTTATACATTGACCTTGAAAAGTAACGTAAGATACAGTGGTTTTATAGATAATATTCTTTTCTTATCTTTGTATGAATTAAATTTTCTCTCTTATGTAAAGTGACTTGCATATGAACAATTTAAATGAAGAAAGATTACAAATGTATTGTTAATGGCTAAATTTATTATCACTTAACTTATCAAATATGTATTCAATTTTTATTGTTTTATTTTATATCAATCTCTCTAGTTAACTTAATGCTGCTGCTGTTGTATTATATTTAAATAGTGACCCTTGTATTGCTTTTCTTATGTTTGTCATAAAGAAGTTAGATATCTTATAATTTTATCTACGTTCTCATTTGTGATATAAAAAAGTCTCTATTAAATATTTTTTTCATATATTTCGACATTTCTGAAAGTATATTTCATTTTTAATTTTTTTACACCTGTCACAAAGATTGGCAATCTTAGAATCTCCATAAAATTAAATTATTAATTAATTAATTGAATCTGGTTGGATCGTGAAAATGAAAGAAAAAATTTTTTTTTCAAGTTTTGTTTTCATCTTTACATATTTTAGTATTGGAAATAAATACAATTTGATGATTTAGAACTACATTCCAGATAAAACTCCAAGAAATTATTGAAAATAAAACTGATCATTAAGTTTTTCTACAAAAACCAAGATATGGAGAGAAAAAGTCTCTAGTGATTAGTACGAATTTGATAATCTGACAGACTCATATTCCTCAGATAACACCGCTTCACTTTTATCCATTACCTGCTAGAGCCTTAAATTTTAATCAATTTTACTTACCTTAGAAATGCATGAACAAAGTGTCTTTTGAATCCCAAGGAAAGTTTTCTCCTAATTGTGCGAAAGTTTGCATTCAAAGTTAATATGATTAAATATATATTCACTTACAGTCCAGTCCGGTTTAACGAGGGCAGAGAAAGGCAAATTGATGAAAGTTTTGTGTGGTCATAAATTTTGGTATGTACCAATTTTTATGGATCTTTGAGTATCAAACTTTGCTGACACAAATGTTAACACTTCTTTTGGTTTTGCACCTATATTTCCATCCAAGAAACTTCACCTCATCTGTGGTATCTCTAAGGTTTTCTCTCTTATCATCCACTCTGTTTGCAATTTACATTAATGATCTTTCCCTCCTAATCCATAATTCCCAATACCATTTTTTGATGGTGATTGCTGATGATTTCCAAATATACCTGTCGCTTTCTGATCTATTGCCAGCCACTAAAAAACTTCAAGAAGACTTACATAGAATCTGTGACTAGGGAGAAGCTAACAAGCTAAAGTTAAATGCAGAGAAGAAAAAGGTAATGGTAATAGGCTCCAATCACGTTCTTAAAACTGTTCCTAATATTCCAAATCTAAATGATAATCCTATCAAATTTTAACCTGCCATTAAAAACTGTGGCATAACCTTTGATCAAACCCTCTCCTGGAAAACCATGTGTCCAATATCTCACACTGTTCCTTTTCTACCTTAAAATGTTTAAATTACCTCTGCCATTTATTTCCATTAGAAACCCATATACTTCTGGTTACATCCTTAATATTTCCTCACTTTGACTACTGTTGTATGGTATATGGAGGCATCTCTTGAGATCTCAAGATAAAACTCAAAGGTTTGATGGACTATTTTATGAAAAATGGAAGTGGCTTTATCCTCTCTACTGTTGTAAATATTTCCTAGCATCCTTCCTCTACCAAGGCATCCAATCCCATCGGCCCCTCATACAATTACAAGCTTCTTCAATTCAAATGGCCTATTCTATCCCATAATGCATAATGCATAAACTTGAATTCACGGTCTTCAAATTTATATACAATAGCTTATTGAACTGCAGCTTTTGACAGTACTTTCATTATTTGATATGCAACCCCATGGAATTCCATTCCCTCCTATATATGTCACTCATATACCTTACCTATCTTTAAATCCTGCCTATTTAATCACTTCCTACTCCTTCAATTCCCAGACAATTGCAAATAATTGTTTTCATTAAATATGTATATAATTTATTAATTTGTTTTTAATTATTGTTTTAATATTTGTTTCATCGCTACCAAAGGTATGGAAAGCATTGTATTCGTGCGAGAGGTTAAAAAAAATGTTGTACTCAGAATTGAAAATTTTCACTCGCTTTTTACGTTTCAGACATCAAGGATCAAAAAGTACTTCCAAAGTCATTAGTTTTTCCAGAAGACTACTATTCAGAATTAAAAGAAACAAAATTGTTTACAATTTAATTCTCTAAAATCAACAGTAAAGCCACTAGAGCATATTCTAAAAGAGGCCAAATCCCGATAGTGGCGTTATTGTTTTACATCTGATTTCCATGGAAATCACCAACCTTACACTTCTATTGACCATCTTTATATGTATATATAAATATTATTTCTCAAAGGTGTTTTTTATTGGTGCACCATATATTTTTCAATTCTTTGTTGAATCCAATGATTGAGCCCTCATTTCGATGATCTCTTTCAGGTTAAAAAAATAGTCAGATTCCCTGAAATTTCAAAGAAAAGGAAACTTTATTTGCAAATAACTCAAAAATTATACATTTTTTTTATTGTTTGTATCGATGATTAATTCTAAAGATTTGTGACAATTTAACTAAACGAAGGAGAAAAATGGATTAAAATATATATTTTTTTTTAAGGAGAAACAGTTGAGATTTGTATTTCCCACCTCAAAAGAAAAATTGTACCTAATCAGAGCCAAGCCAGGCAAAGTGGCACTCGCATAGGCGCTTTCAGTCCTCAGCACCTAATTCGGTTCTCATAAATGGCATAATTACGGTGCTACTCTCTCCATCTGTCTACTACATGTTTTTTCAACAAATTATTTTTCCATCAGTTCATTGTTATATTTTCAATGATTATGGATCTTCTTAACAGTAATTTCTTTTTTCTAGCATTTGTTTCTTCTTCGCTTTTTTATATATTTATATCTTTTGCTATGTTTTCCCATATCTAACACTCCTCTCTGAAATTAAAGTTCTGAGTCGAGGAGAGTTTTGAAAGGTGCAGTAAGCCATTTTTTTCTGCCCGCTAGTCAACTAGGAAGAAGATCGAAAGCAATAAATGGCTCGGATCATTCCAGCTCACTTATTTTATCAATTAGTTTATAATGTTAGGTTCACATAAATGAACATAAGGTTTCTATTGCTCATTATTTATAGCCATTTCTATATCCATGTATCATACTCCTTAAAAATAATAAGTTAAATAACTATTCACTTCACTAACTCTTATATGCCCGGTTATTGAAGACATAAACAAATTAGTTTATCATTTTCAAATTTCGAAAATTTAATTCACTTCATTTACAATTTGTGTATGCACGTAATGTAAATGTTTGTTAAATAATTGTTTTATATCAATTTCAACTTCTGGTTGAGAAAAGAGATCTTCCCCATTCCCACCAACCTCCTCACATCTCCTTCAAAATGTTAAAATGAATAAAAATTTACTTAACTGGATCATATAAGACAGGTTATTGAAGATATTAAGACAATTTAATATTATCAAACATGAAAAATAGCTTGACATAAGATTTTCAAATTAGAAAAATTTCCTGAAATTGGAAAAAAAAATTTCCAGCAATAGTAGTAGTAGTATTTATATGTAGTAGTAATGATGAGAACTAAAGACCAGGCCCAGACTAGATCTTTTTGTAAGCAGGTTCTTTTAATTCAAGTGGTCTTCCATTATATACTGTTTGCAAACAACAATTTACAGATATTAAGAAGTACAGATACTTTCAAGTGAAACAAGACCAATTTTATTCAGTATATCTCTTAATTTAAAAAAAGTAGAGAAATAACTTCAGAAACGCTTAAAAACAACAATTAAATTATTAAGTGTTAACAATTCCATAGTGGCGCAGAGAAATAGATAAAATAGGAAAACCTGTAACACATGACACGTAAATTAAAAGTTGCTTTCAAATATTTCCATGGAACTTGTTACAAAAAAATAAATTGATATCGGTACATACCAAATATAAAATTTTCATTGGAAATGCAAATTTTTTCTTTCTTTATAATGCTTGCTAATTACATACATGTGAATTACTTACAAATATATTATTTTTAAAAATATAAGTATAGCTCTTTAAATTCTTACGTTTGCCAACCACTGGCCTAGATCAAGGGTCTCCAAACACATTGAGTCCTACAAACCTTATTTCCTCCATAATGAAATCCCAATCTGACTCTATAGGAATTGACGGATAATCCCGTCAAACTGTTAAAATTATGCCTCCCTGAAATTCTTCCAGTTCTTCTATTCATTTATAATCTTTCTCTTCAAAATTCTGTTTTTCCTACATCTTGGAAAAAAGCCTTAGTCCGTCCTATTAACAAAATTCCTAACCCCACCTCTCCTAAAGACTATCGTCCAATTTCCATCCTCTCAAATCTATCAAAACCCCTCGAAAGAATAGTCCAATTCCAATTTTCTCGAGGAGTCCAAACTTTTAGATCCTCTCCAGTCTGGCTTTCTTCGTCCGGCCTTCTCCACTCAATCCGCTTTAGTCAAAATCACAAATGACATACATACTGCAATTGACGAAAGAAAACTGACTGTATTAGTACTTCTCAACTTCTCCAAAGCATTCGATTCCTTAGACCATTCTATCCTCTTCACTAAATTAAAATCTCTATCCTTCTCTAATAGTTCTATCCTATGGTTCCAATCATTTCTTTCTGGCAGGACTCAAGCAGTTAGTATTCCGAATCAACCCTTATCTTCTTTTCTCACTTTGTCTCATGGAGAAGCCCAGGGTTCAAGTATTTCTCCTATCCTCTTTAATTCTTACGTCAATGACCTTCCTAGTTCAATCCGCCATTGTTCATACCATCTATAGGCTGATGACTCCCAAATTTATCTTTCCTTTCCGCCCACTGAGTTATTAGAAGCGTTTACGAATATTCAAGAAGACCTAGATAAGATCAGTGCCTGGGCAAGCTTGAATAAATTAAAGTTAAATGCAACGAAAACTCAGGCCAGTCTTATAGGTTCCAACTCCCTCCTTAGATCCATTTCCACCCTTCCTTCCTTGATTATTAATGACCAACCAATCTCCTTCTCCTCCTCTGTAAAAAACTTAGAAATTACCATTGATCAAAACCTATCATGGAAACCCCATATTGCTCATATCTCTAGAAGGTCAATTGGTACACTTAAACTATTTCATCGTTCTCGTCAGCATCTCTCACAACCTATCCGCAAGCTCCTAGTTTCCTCATTGATTTTCCCCTACTTTGACTATGGCTGTATGGTATACGGTGGCCTCTCGTTGAAGCTTGAGGACAAACTGAAGAGAATCATGAACTTTTTAAGATTCGTCTTCGGCACTTCGAGATGGTCTCATGTGTCCCACCTATATGCCGAGTCAAAGTTGCTCTTCCCCTCTTCCCACCGCCTATACTTCCTTGGAAATTTCTTATACAAAACTATCAACTCCCAGTACCCTTCCTATAACTACTGTCTTCTTCAGGCTAAATCTTTAGTCCACTCAATAAAAATGAGATCCCGTGTTTCTGACCTCTATATTCCATTCCACAGGACAAAAACCTATGAACGTTCCTTCTTAGCCCGCTCTGTCTCCTACTGGAATTCTTTGCCACATGACATCCGTCGTGCTTCTTCCCTGTCAACTTTCAAATGCCTCCTTTTCTAATATCTCCTTACATCCCAAACAAACGATTCGCAACCATAAATTTCATTTTATGAACTGAATTTGTGAGAAGTAAATGGTGATGCCTATTGTTTAAGATTTAACATAAAACAGCAATAATCTTTGTCACCCAGTTTGACTATTATTCTTACTATTTATTTATTTTTCTCTTCGCCTCAGGTTGTGCTTTTCTTTCGGGTATATATGTTTATATTATATACTTTTTGTCTCTCTGTGTACCAATATGAGTATGTACGTAAACATAGATGCTTTTTTTCCATTACACCACAAGTAATGCTGAGATTTGATTTTATCTTAGTGTTTGCATATTATTAGATAAATCACTATAGATATTATTACATTTTATATTAAGTTATTTATTTATTAGATAGCCTAGTGTCTATAAATTGTGTAGTTATGTATATATGGATATGTAATTTCCTTTTCTTTTTTCTCTTTTTCCATCACAATAATAAGTAATTTTGAGAAGATTTTATGTTCATTTATATAAATATATATTTTTTAGTGGTTACATACTACTTTCTAAATAATGTATATAATGTTAGAATGTTTATAAGTTAGTGTTTGGCCAGATTTGTATTTTATTTTTGTATTAATTCATCATTGTTATTTTAAGGGGACTTAGTCCCAGATAAAGTTCAATTTTCTATTCTATTCTATTGGCCTAGATCAAGGGTATCCAAACACATTGTGTCCTCGATCTAAGTCCCGCTGGTAATGGCTAGTGATAAAATAAATCTTGTTCTATAAATGATACTTCAGTTGTTAAATGAGTTTTATAAGGGGAAAAACATGCAATAAATGTTGTAGTGAGCTCTTGTGTGAGTAATTTTCAAAATTTCACATTTTTAATAGTTTTTAAAATTTTATCATGTAATCTAAGAAATTTTTGCGGGCCATAGTATTGGAGACCCCTGCCCTAGACCTTAGTAGTGGAAACTGTGGTCTCGATGCCGCAAGCAGTCTCCCTTATCACTGCCTAACCTAAATGCAGCCTATTATAATTTTTGGAAAATAGAATTTTTTATTTAAATATCAAGATAAGACTCTATTTGAATTATTAATTATACTTTATTTTTAAAACTTAACATTTATTTTACTAAATTATTTGTTCTTTTCCAGATCGGTATGACTACATTGGTAAACTTCTGAAGCCTGGTCAAGAGGCAACAAGTTATTCAGATGAAGAGGAAGAAGCTACAAATCAAGAGACTGTTACTGAAAAACCAAAAGAGGAGTAACCGAATACACTGTATTCTAAAAGAAAAAAGAGAGAAAGTGAACAAAAAAAATTTTTAATATGATAACCCTCATTTATTGTAAAGGCACTTGTGTAGTCTTGGTAATTATAGCCGTAAGTTTGCCTAAGGGGGCATTTCTGCAAAAACTAAACCAAATCAACAGAAAATAGAATGTTTGTTTAAAAAGATACTTCACTTTGTTACCATATTTTTAAAAAAAATATATATTTGTTATGAGTATTAAATTATGGTGAAGGTGTCTCTTAAACTTTATTTATATTTGCTTTTAGTTGGTTGTTTTTGTTTAGATTTTTTAACTAGCTATGGATAAATCGGGATCTATCCAGCTAGAGACTACATGTTTTTGTAATAAAAAAAAAAAGTTAAAAAAAATTAATATGATTATTTAATTATGAATTTAAATAATTTCATTTATTTTAAAAATAGTTTTATGTTCAATTCATAAGCCATATTGGACAGATTATCGCTAAATTGTTGATATCATTGTCATTTATAAATTTTTTATCTGATTTATTTTTATGTAGCTAAGGCATTTTTTTTCCCTTTGATGCTATTGCACTAATAACTTGGTATTAGTACTGGTTATATCGAATGGAGTTTCTTTTATTGAAAAGGCTGATATACTTAAACCAAATGGTCCTATTTAGGTAGGTAATATAAGGTCAGAGGAAAAAATGAATTATCATTTCCAGAAATATAATAATTTTTTAAGATTATATTGTCCTGTATATAATATTTTCTAAGATTGGATTTATTAATCTTCCAACTAATTTGAGACTGCCTTTTTGATATTTTGTCTTTATTTTAATTATATCAATTAAGGATCTGTTCCTGAAAGCCTAATTTATATTTGGAGCTGACAGATTCTTAATTATCATGAGTGTGTGTATATATCATATATATTTGTGTATTGTATATACATAGATAAGTGATTATACTAGTACCTTAATAAGATCTTGACGGGGAATTTTATTGACATGTTATGATGAATTGTTTATGAACGATGTGAAATATATATATAAAGAAATCAAATTCAACTATGAATGTTATATTTTAATTTTTCTTTCTCCATATTAATTGCTTTTTTCTGATCACCAAAGTTTTTTGGTGAAGAACTTTGTAATGATTTTGTATGTTACACTTTTTCTGTGTGTTTCTTCAGTCATTATGTTTGTTAAATATATCACTTTTTGACTATTTTTTTAATTAATTTTTTTAAGAAACCATTCAAAATTTTATTTAATTGGTTTAAGGGCTATTGAGCACTATATATTCCAAGCATTTATAATACTCTTTTAATATTGAAAAGAGAATTGTGAAATTATAGATACAATATTAAGTTGTTTTAATTATTATACCAAACAAAATTTTAGTCAGTCATCTTCAGGGCTATAATGTAGATATAATAAAAAAAGTAAGTGACTACTCTTATATTTAAATAATTGATCATGGGGGAAAACCTGGCATTTGAGTGTGATCGTGGTCAAATCACCTCCTTGCACAAACGTTGGCCAAGAAAAAGTACCTTCCCTCCACAGAACCGAACCCAAGACCCTTCATGGGTTGTAGTGGTACAGTTTTTTCTTTTTTTAATAATAAAATATTATTTTTTAAAAAGGATGTAGGTTGATTGATAAAAATACTTATATCAAAAATGAAAAATATATGTGTAGAATCAAATTATATAATCTTTGTTGATGATGTTTAATAAAATGATATACATATTTAAAAAAATAAAATAAAACAAAATTTGATGTGTTGCAACACCGTTAAAAATACATTTAATAATAAATAAAGAATTTTATACTTTAAAGAATAATATATAACATTAAAGAATATTGTGTGTGCATCTTGGTTGGGATTCCAATAAGTATTAATAAAAGACAATTTTATTATTGTCCATTCTATAATTTTTATTAACTTTATTTCAAATCACTTTGGCACAATATGCCTATTAGCCATTTCTGCTTATTTATATTTTAATTTAAATCAACTTCATACATATATAGAAATAGAAATAGAAAAATAACTTTATTCGGAGACTCAGTCCCTTAGGAATAACAGAAAAAAAAGTAGTTACATTAAATAAATAGATAGATAAAAACTTTAAGTGAACAAATTAATGAAACTATATACAAAATACTTGAAACTATCTTATATCTATATGTATATATAAAAATTAATGTATGTCTGTCTGTTTGTACTTTATGCATTACTGAATTCATCTTATTGCCATGAAACTTTAGGAAGTTGTTTTGTGCACTCTTGCGAAGGTTTCTGACATAGTACTTTTGTCCTACAATAATTTTATATGCAAAAAAAAATATAAATGTTCGTTTGTTCAAAACCCCTGATCTCTGGTGGTTGTTTAGAGGTTGCTTTGAAATTTTGAAGCAGTGTTTCAATAGAATTCTGGAGTGTTTTATGAACATTTCAATACCATCCGGTCTCGTTTCAAAAAGGCTGCTGAAAAACCTGTGTCGCTATAAAATGTAGTGTCAAATCGACTGTAACGATTTTAATGGAACTTAGTTAAAGTCTTCCCCTTGAAACCCTTTTAATTTATGTATCGAACATAATTTCCCAAAAACAAGCTGCAAAGAATGTTACTATAAATTCAGAATTTCATTTGCTAAAACTCAAAAACTACACAATTTTTGCTTGATTACACCCATTATTTAAAATCTTTCTGAATTACCTACAAATGGAAAAAAATAAGTCATGGAAATCGGACAATTCTGTACTGAGATACAGTTTTTATACAGAGTTTTAAACATTTACTACTTTTTCTTCAGCAAAGGCCATTTCCTTTTTTTTTTTTTTCTTTATTGATTAATCAAAAAATTTATAATTACTGAAGTAATTAAGATTATCATTTGAAGAAATTATACAATTTTCCTGATGTGGGTCAGTACTACTTAAGGTTTCTTAAATTCATATTTATATTTTTTCCCAATGTATTCGGGAAGAGTATGATACATCTCAAATATTTGTCATTAAACCAAAATTTCAAGGCAATCACTGAAGAACTTCACGAGATTTACATTTTTATTTGCTGTAAAATAATCAACACAAAGTTAAACATTAAACAATATATTAAATATACAAATAATTAATTATAAAATTAAACATGAAAATATAGGAGTTGCTTCATATAAAAGACGGATCTCTGTCATTTTCAGAAAGTGGAGAAAAAGTCAAATTTTTTTTTATTGTCAATAGGTTCAACTAAACTGTTTCTGATGATTTTATTTAAGAATGTTCAAGTTGAATCATGAAAAATCATTAGAATTAGTTTGAATGGAAGCTATGTTACAATTGTTTTTTTCCTTAACTTTTTAAAAATGACATACGTCGTTGGATATTAAGCCGCTTTCGCGTGCATTAGAATAGAACGATCGCCTATTTCGTTGAGGATAGGCAACACATGAGGTTTCAAAATCTCATCTACATAGCGAATGGCCATCAAAGACCCTCCACGATCAACAACCAATTCTGTGCGGCGCTCCATCGAAATCCCAGCCCACACTATTAGGGAACCACGTTGGAAAGGTTGGCTCTGGGAAAAATTACATGCTGCATATCTTTCGTTTCTTCTTCTCCACGCCCGTCTGGAGATCGAAGAGCGAATCTTGACACATCTGTAAAAAGTACAGCACTCCATTCGTTCATAGTCCAATGGCTGTGTTCTCGAGCAAAAGCCAGCCGTGTTAATCTATGAGTTCTGGTCCTCTTACTGAATGAAAAGCCATTAATCCATACTCATTTAATCTTCTCCGAGCGGTACGTTCAGAAATTTGCACACCTCGAATTTCTTCGAGCTGATGAATCGCTTGAACAACGGTAAGATGCCGGTTTCGTAAAATTCTCAAAGTCAAAAACCGGTCATCCCGTGTATATACATACATAAAACCGTGTATAAGAGGTGAAGATGGTGTGAAAAATATATCTACAATATCATAAGTAATACATAAGAAAAATAAAATACACTGTGTTTTAAACTATTACTTAAAATGTGGTTAGCTGTTTTCCAACTTTTATTGGAATAGGAGGGTTTTAAAGGTATGGAATTCTAGAAAGAAGCAGAGCGGGCAATGAAGGAGTTTTGGAAAGAGGCAGATCTGGGAAAAAGAGTATGAAGGTCAGAGTGATGGGATCTTGTGGTAAGAGAGTGGACGGAAGACTTAAGAGTAGGAGAAGACAATTGACAGCCCATGGTGATTGACCAATTCATGTTCCAGAACATGGGTCAGTATTCACAGAATTTAACTATCTTAAAACTTCCATAATTCTGAAACTACTTGTTAGAATTAAATATTGTTTATTTTCTTATATCTAATTATAGCTGGAAGACATGCCGATTTTATATTCAAACAAATGTATATTTTTGATTAGTTCATACAAGTTTATTTTCCTTCTCCACCTTTGCCTATCTTGGGTTATTCCTTTCTAGTTTTTTGCATGCAACACTGTCTAGTCTCTTGCCAATGAATTGCTCCAGGCTATATGTCCCACCCATCTTAATATCCTTCCTTCATATCATGAGATATTGCTTACCAGTTTCTGTAAGCAGTTCTTTTTTCCTTGTTCTCTTTCATCTATTATTACTCTGACCCCATATCCCTCCAATGACATATTACATATTTCTAGTGTTCAATCATGTGGAGGATTTTCTTCTCAAATCAAATTCTTTCTAGAGTGCAAGTAATTTTTGGTTCACTTATTATAAAAGATTATGTTTTATCGTCAATTACTTGCAGGCTGATTTCGCCTACGTCGCTTATCAGAGTCTTAGGGAATCTCTCAATGTCCTCTAGATCCCTTCCAAGGACCAGACTATCCAAGGATTTTATGATCCATTCCAACTTGTACCCCACTTCATTTTCATGCTATATTCTTATCACATTTTCCAGTGCTAAGCTGAACAGCACTGGCAAGAAACCATCTACCTTCCCCAAACCAGTTTGAACTTTGAAGATATTTCTCCTTATATCAGGAATTGACATTTAGGATAGTTTGTATCATTATTGTCTTTTAACCTCATAATTTTAATTATAAGGATTATAAATTTTATTTTTTCTAAACTAAGTATTGATAATTAGTAAGAAAATATGTATTACAATAAACTTTCAATACAGCGATAATCTCATTATATACATATAGATATATATATATATATATATAATGCAAAAGTTTCTTCAAGTACTGTTGCTGGATTAAGATAGTTTACTGTTATACATATTTTCCTACTAATTATCAATACTTAAAGTTTATAAAAATAAAGTTTATAATCCTTATAAATATAATCATTATTTCAAGTAACTAATTAAAAATATACATTTATTTAGGCATAAAATCAATAGATTTTGAAACTATTATAATTGGAGCAATTGTAGGTTTATGTGTTAAATTACTAGGAAAATTAGTCATACTTTTTGTGAAAAATGTTTTCCAAAATGAGATTTTATTGTTAAGTTAATTACTTTTCCCGCACATTTTTATATAGGTTAACAATAATGTAATTGAAGATATGTGTGAAAGAAAGTGAGAAATCAGGGTTCATAAGGATTTCTTATCTGATAAAACTTCTTATCAAGATTCTATTCAAACAACATATAAATATTGTAATATATTTTGTCCCTCCCTCCCATAGGAATTTACTATCATTTAATGAAGCTAGGTATATTTGTTTCAAATTTAATTTTAAAATAAAATTTTTATACCAAGGAATGAAAAATTATTTATATATATTTTTTTAAACTAATTGTTAACAAGTTTCATATTACTTGCCTACATTTATGTACATCTTTAATTTTTTTCTATAAATTACAAATAAAAAATGCATTGCAATAATACTAACTACTAAAGATTTCATGTTAAAAATGCTCTTCATAAATCATTTTGATTTTCACAAATATTTTCATTAAACTTGAAATAGTATTACTCATGTTATAATTAACATAGTTATCTTCTCAATATACTGTAAGATTAGTGTTATTATTTATTTATGTACAATATTTAAAACATATTTTGAATATTTATCAATCTTTAAAATATATTTTATTCTACATACATAATTATTTTTTATTAGAACTTCATTACAAGGTGATTTTCAAGGTCAATCTTTTTTTTTTTTTCATTCCATAATAACCCTGAGAACTGGTCATTTACTATTGATTGTTCATTACTTGCAATT